CCCCAAAACCCCAAAACCCCAAAACCCCAAAACCCCAAGAATTAAATGTTAAGATGAATTTAATTTAGAAATAAAAATTAGATAAGATGTCAACTAGGATCTCCTCCAACAAACTTGACTGGCAAGCCATCAAACGAATCGCTTCCAACGATCTCTACGAACAAATTGGAGCCAACAGAATCAGACCTTCAGTTGCTCCTTCGACTCAAATCGACCCAGACAGAGCTGAAGTGCTCGGCAAGACTCTTGGAGAGCTTCAGGATTTCAGGGACTTGGCTCATGATGAATCCTTGAAAGCAGAACAAATTGCCAGAGATGGTGCCAGTGAGAAACGTTCCATTAGAGACCGCATTGCCGAAGTCAAAGCCAAGATCGAATACAAAAAGCATTTACTCGAACAAGTCAAAACTAAGAAAAAGAGCCAAGGTATTTATGAAAGCGAAGTCACACAAATCGAGGGCAAGTCTGCTGCCACCACCAGACAAGCCAACAGGATCCTCAAAGAAGACGCTCAGAAGCAGCTCGATGAAGTCTACAGACTCAGAGACAAGATCCTGAGTGCCAACTCGGGTTCTTCGACAGTCCCTCCTCAAGTCAAAGTGAGGATTGAAGAACGGATGGCCGAAGTCGAAGCCAGAGTCGACAGAGACCTTGAGCTGCATGCAAGAAAGGCTGGTCAGTTAGGAGCAGGACCCAGTTTCACTCTAGATGAGACCAAGTACACTCTCAGAGAGATCAAGAAAGAGTCTGAAGAAATAGATAAAGATATCGAGCGTGAGATCGACAACAAAAACGCTGAGATCAATGACGGCAAAAGCCAACTCGCCGATGTTCTCAAAGAAAAGCACGATCTCAAATGGAAGATTGGCTTGCTTGAGTCAGAAGTCAACAAGCTTGAGTTTCAGAACAAAATACAGATTGAAAGTCAAGTCAGAACTCTCAAAGACAACAAGGGAGATGTCATTGACAATCTCAAGCGAAGAATAGATGATGCCAAGTACAATGAAGACCATCTTAAAGACCTCATCAGACATGCTGAAGACATCACCATTGATGTTGGCTTCATCGAACGCATGGACATCGAAGGAGACCGCAACAACAGAATCAGACAGCTTCAAGACGATCTGAGGTTCAAAACCCAGAACGTCGAGCAGCTCAAAGACGAAATTCAGGGACTCAACAGCCGTTTGAATTCAATTGGAGAAGTCCACATCAACACCAGCGATTTCAAGCACGAAGAAGACTACACTCACCTTGTCAAAGACCTCAACATTGGATACAACGACATCATCCAGTCTGTCAAAGACCACTTGACAGCCAATGCAGCCATTCTCAGAAAAGAGAAAGAGATCAAAGAGATGGAAGCCAGGATTGCTCTCATCGACTTAGACGCTCTTGATGAAGAATACCAACAACTCAGGATCATTTACGACCGTGACTCCGAGATCTTGAGAGACCTCGAAGAACAGTACTCGCTGATCCACGACCGTCTGATCAGACTCAGAGCCAGACTCAGAGAGCTCAACGACTTGATCAGGACTCTCGAAGACAGACTCGAGACAGCCAAGTTCGAGATCGAAGATGCAGAAAGGAAATACAGGTATGCATTGTTTCATATTTTGAATCGCCATAAAACCAAACTTTGGTCACATTATATCTTTGACTTTAAGAGTTGTTGAGTCTTCCAAACTCACTTTTGTCTTGTTGATTACCATTGTTTGATTGTTCTCATCCAACCATAGACTGATCAAAGTGCCAAAGAAAGTTGAATATGTTGTCAACGAAAGAGTCGAAGATGTTCTCATCAAGAAGAAGTACCTGACCACCAAAGAGACAATCTCAGAGCAAAGATACTCTCAAGAAAAGAATAGAAGAGCCACATCCAGAATCACTGGTGAAGAGTTCTATGAGCCGACTGAAGAAGAGTTTGAGTCCATCATTCCGATGGGCTCCAAAGTCAGAATTGTCAGAGACAAAGAAGACGGCTACTACAGATATGGAAGCCTCAAGTTCTTCTTTATCAAAGGGACTGATGGTGTATACTACGTCGACTACAACGGCACTGCCATGACTTTCGATGACTTTATTACTCTGTACGAAGCCCAGGAGAGAAACAGATCTAGCAGACAATACAGCAAGAATGTGGACCACTACGCCATGGAGGAAGAAGAGTACGACGCAGAAGTGGGAACAGAGTTCGGAGGAGGAAGAAGCATCCGCAGAGATTACGACTAAAGACTTGGGCCTGAGAGAGGCAATTTGTTATTTCAATTGTAAAAGATTTAAACGGGGTTTTGGGGTTTTGGGGTTTTGGGGTTTTGGGG